TATATATATATATATATATAAAACAGAAGCTGCACTTCATATTAGTGACAAACTTTGGTGTTTTTTTGACAAGTTACTTTCATTTTTGCTTCTACTTTTCATTTAAAATAGGTTTCCATTCTCGCAAAGTTTCCAAGGTTCTTCTTCTACATATTAAAAAGGTTGTTTAACAACTGAGTGGCGCACTACTGCTGCTCGTGGTGAGAAAGTGTATTGCACCTTATTCAAAATCAATGTGGTCCCTGGCCCTCTGCGGCCCAAAGTTAAAAACTGTTGTTCTTTTGAGGCCCTCAAGGTGGCGCTCGCCGCCCACATTTGGGACGCGGCCCGTAGGTTACGAATCTCTGTTTTAGATCACTTTAAAAAGTTCTTTTGTACCTTTATTTTAAACTCAATTTACTCTAATTAACATGTCGTGCTTTGTGTGCTTTAATGTGTGACAGTGAATTTATTTGTCTGCTTATCATTTTGTAGTGAGCAGGTATATGTATCTGGAGCAGTTTTGCTCATTACACTTGCGTGCAGAAGAAATATCTGTTGTCTCATTCGTCGTAATTCATCTAGTAAGGGAAACCACTTCTTTTTTGGATCAGTAGATGACTGACAGTTTGTCAACCTCTCCAAGTCATAAACAGAAACAAGGCTGTAATGAGTTCTTCCCCCCTCTATTTTTGGCAAGTGAGGACTTTTTTGGATTGAAACCAACAGCTTGTGAGAGTTCAGGTTGTGTTCCGTGGTTAGGATAGCCTCGTTCGAACAGCAGGGCTCAGAATAACTCACTGGTACAGTGTTTGTTCTTTATTACAGACTTTTTGTCAACCTTATAAAACCCAGCAGAACAGTTAAGGCAAGCAAATGATTTGAAGTCTGTTGGTTTGATCTAGTTTAAGCTACAGAACTAATGATAGTTCTTGGTTATAATCTGGTCCATTTGAATCTTTTATTTTTGAGTTTTGTTTATAAGAAATTGAGTGATTTTTTTTTAAATGGACAGTTGTTAACTTTGATCATTTATACATCATTTTGTATTCATTCTTCAACGAAGCAATTACAGTGTGGTTTATTTTCAAGGATTCACACTGCTAAACAAAACAGGAAAATTGCTAATCAAAACTGTAAGCAAGCAGATAAAAGACAGATTTATTATTGAACCGCTTGTAAGGTAAAGACCAGGTGTGAAGGTAGCAATCATGTCTTCTGAGAAATAACAGAGGATAGAAAAGCTGTCTTACCCCTACGCTTGTCAACAATGAAACCTGTAAGAGTTTTTTGTCAATGTTTTTTAGCACATTTTTTATTGCTTACATTTCTTGCAGTGCATATGCATATTTTCTCAAATTAAAAAAAATTGTCATCTCTAAATATTTGGCTGATTGGCAACATCTTATTATATTCTGAGCAGAGGAGCAGATAGTAAAGCTGGTGTTCTTCTCTCATCCCAGATGCAGGAGATGGCTTTGCACCACCGCCAACAGCAACACCATCACCAGCATCCCGACGGCGCTCTTTACGATCCCGCCCGTCACCACCCCATGATAAACAACTCACCTCCGATACTGCCCAACCCCATGAGTGCACTGTCCCAGCTAAACCCTCAGGTCAGCCGGAGTGCACTGCCTCACGGCTCCCCCTCACCTCCCGGGAGTAAATCAGCCACACCTTCCCCTTCAAGCTCCAATCAGGAAGAGGAAACAGATCCTCATTCGAAGGTACTGATGTGGCTTCTCTGGGCTGTAGTAGTGGAGATGAAGGTTGGGGCTATGCAGCGCTCAATTTTAGACAAAATAGAGTTGAGTTTTGAGGAAATTCAGGGAGCAGAAAACACTTTTTATTTTTTTTATTTGGTTGTTTGAAAATTTCAAACATAGTTTTGCCAGAATTGGAGTTAAAGCTGTAATTGTTTCTTGTTTTCTGTGTGCGGTGTGGTGCCAATTTTGAAGGTAGTTGAAGCTTCTGAGTTAAGAGTTTGATTGTGGAGTTTACTTGAACTTCAGTTTGTGCATTGTTTTGTTGCATGGAGCTGAACGTCCTATACAGCAGGGCTATTCAACTAAATTGCTCCGGGGGCCACAGTTACTGCAGGTCAACAGCTGAGGGGATGAACATCCAGCAATTAAAGTTATTATGTAAATAAACCAAGTATTACAAAGATCTGTTATCTTTAAAATAGTTTATTTTGCTGCATTTAATCATGAAAACAGCATACAGAACCCTATAAAAGTAGTGACAGTTCAATTATATCAAAAACATAAAGAACACATTATACCTCCTATTTGACACAAATATTATTTTGACATCTCTGACTTGCCAAATTTTTAACCAATTTTATTTTCACTTTCATAGTTCTATCTTCAATTGCTTGTAGTTTTAACTGTCTTGAGTATGCATAGAATTGGTTTATACCGGCTTGTAGCCAAGGTTCTGACATTTCTGTAGATACCAAACATGTCTATGTCTAGCTAAAAGAACTCAGAGTAATTAAAGTAGAAAACCGGGGGTTTGGGTTTAAGAGATGAATGAACCAATTGGCAGGCCGAACTTTGGTCACTCGCGGGCCGGATTTGGCCCATGGGCCGCCAGTTGAATAGCCCTGCTATACAGAGTGGGCTTATTTGAAACTATTGCGTTTATTTAAAAGTAGCACAATCTATAATGACAAATGGCTCTCATTACTCATTTGAGAATATGTGCAAATCCATTTCCACCATTATGTGTTTGCTAGTTTGCTCTCTCGTTATTCAACAAGTTTATTCAGAAAAGTGGGAAACATTTCGGTGGGTTGATTTAGAGTTACAATTCTTCCTAATCATCTCTGTCATTGGTTGGTTTCAGTCATTTGTTTTGAAAAAGAGTGCTTGTTTAGTTAGCTTTTGCTTTATAAAAACTACCTAAAGAAATAACATCTCATTATTTCCATGCCCGTTTTTCATTTCTAAAAGAGAAATCTAAATAAGCGTATGATTAAATTTGCTTGTTTCAGAATCATCCGTGTATTTAGCTACTATTTGCACTGATACAGTATGAGTGAAGGAGGATCCTTTAGTTTAAAAAAATACGTTTTCCTGCCTATACGTATCTGCCAGGCTTCTCATGGCGTATGCGAATAAAAATGATTACCATCTCTCCTATCAGTAAGTAATTCCATTTGCTCTCTCCAATTCATTCTGAGACCACATCAAAGCCAGAGAAGATACATCAAGCGATTTAAAATTCCTTTCACCCCTGGCATGAAAAGTCAGAATTTATTACTTGCTGAGCAACTGCAAAATAAAGATTTGAAAAGGTTTGATAAATTCAACTAGTGCAAGATATTTTTTGAAAAAGTGTTGCAGGGATAAAAAAAGGGCTTCAATACTTGGCTGTGTGTGAAAACGTTACTAGCTCTGAAACATTGCTGCAATGTTCAAACGTTTGTTGTTGGAAAAACGAATCAAATTATGGAGCTAATAACGTTTACTCACGTTACCTGGAGCCAGTGTTGTATTCATTCATCAGAGAAGCAATTAATGGATGTAGAATTGGTAGATGCAGTTTCAGTGTCAATAAGCTGTCTTGTTGTTTTGTTTGCTCTGATGGTCTTCCAGATGACAGGTGAAAAGCGGCCGTCTTCGGAGATGATGAAGCCGAAGCCCAAACCCCAAAAGAAGAAGAAGAAGAAGGATCCTAATGAGCCCACTAAGCCTGTGTCAGCCTACGCCTTGTTCTTCAGAGACACCCAGGCGCACATCAAAGGACAAAATCCTAACGCCACTTTCGGAGACGTGTCGAAAATAGTCGCCTCCATGTGGGACGGCCTGGGAGAGGAGCAAAAGCAGGTACGTCCGCACTCTTTGTGTCCACACTGCAAATATTTCACATGCATTTGGTTAAGTCCAGGGGTCGCTTCTTTTTACCTCGCATCAGGACTAGAAAACCTTTGAAGGGAGAACACTAAGTACTTCCTTTAAAAATGACATTTTTATTTTTTATTTTTGTTTTTTAAGGTTTTAAAACACATTTAATCCACTTCATTTATTAATTTATTTTACACTCACACCCAACAGATTGAGCGGAATTAAGCTGTATGCTTTTTTCTTACAAAAACGTTATAATGTATCATAACTACCGTATTTATTGAAGTATAATACGTAAAATTAAATCCATAAAGTCATCCATAAAGTTGGGGCGTAGTACTATACTCAGATAAATATTTTTACTTATGTATTTTAACTGAAATACCAGCTTCATTCACAAAATGCCGGAAATGAGACCGCGTCGTAAAAAGCAGTTGAAACGAGCTTACCTCTGACACTCCTCCGTGCTTCAGAGCGAGATAGTAACAGATCCAGGCAGGCGACATGATGTGAAAAAAAGGGAGAAAATGTATTCCTGCACCTTAGTAATGATAACAAACTAATGACATTAGCATGTGACCGAGCTGCTCCGCGAACAACAACAAACACATGTTCGTCCATAATGGCTGTCGTCTACCGGTGTTCTGAAAAAGTTTGTTTCCCTGAAAAAATGCTTCTCCACCAGAGGGGGCGCTCGCGAGTAGGAAGTAATCTGCTTTTCCCCCACAAGATGGCCCAAATCTCATCTGAAGTCTTTGACTTTTGTGTTGCCTCCTGGTGGACTATGTGTAAAATGTCAGAATTCACATGATGCTACTACAGCTGATATATATTTGTTGTCAAAATACCTTTTAGTACATATGTTGTTAAAATAAAATGAACAGTCCAATGATCATTTTACTGATATGTATAAAGACTGAAAAGGCTGAAAAATCTTGAAGTCTGTATGAAATTGGAGGTAGTTTGAGGATTAAATTTGTATGCTTTTGAAGCTCAAAAAGAGGGGATTGTATTATACATGAGGTCATATTATACACAAATAAATACGGTAATTTGTAAAATCTGAAATGATAGAACATAGGAGTTTCATTGTAGCATGCATTTGCTGTTTTTGCATCTTTAAAAGACTGTAGTTAATTTTTTAGAACAAGATGTTAAATATGTATTCAGGGATCATCTGCTGACTTTTTTAGCCATCAGCAGTGCAGTTGTAATTACCTGAATTTGATTTTATTTTAGCGCAACCTGTGCATTTAAAACTGCCTTCGCCTTTACTGCAGCTTATCGATTCCACAATGAAGCTCGGTTTCAATTTCATTTGAACATTCCAGGCCAACAGAGTCAAATAGGTTTCTGTGTGTTTGTGGTAACAAATGATGGTGTGAAATGAAGGGAAAAATGAGACAGTCTGATGATCATGCACAGACTCATATTTTTAGAATATTCAGTCAAGGCACAGCCAGTTGGGTGTCAAATAAAAGCACCTGTCTCCGTGACAAAGTGCGGCCCATTCTCCGCACAGCCGCCATCTACCAGACCCCATCCAGCATGTGTCTTTTTCTCCCACCAAACCTACTTTATACGCTGGACTTTGGAGGCCGGCTGTCCCTTTTATTTGCAGTTAATTTTTGCTGCCTTGGCCGAGGCACTTCACCATGAATCTTCATTTCGCCACTGACACCCCTGAATGTGAATTCCACATTTCCTGTCCTTTTATTTATATCTGTTGCCTGGTGATTTGATCATGCTGGGAATACAAGATTAGCAATTGCCTTGTCCTTGGTTTTCCCTCAAGGACATCTGCTCCAGAAATGTTATTGTTTGTGTTTCTTAACCCTTTGTCTCCTGGCATCTTTTAAAGCCTTCGAGTTTTTTTTCTCATCTAAAATGCATTTATCCCTCATAGTTAAACCTGAGAACAGAAAGATAACTAATAAAATCCTTTTGTTTTGCCTTCCCAATAGCAGCTTTATTTTATTGTTGTTGTTTTTATGTGCATTCATGTGTTTAATCAAACGTGCCACCTCGTAGGACACATAATTAACTTGAGGTAAATGAATCATTATGGAGTGAAACGTAGCACTCTGTCTAGGCAGTAACCCTGTGATTGCTCTAATTATTACTACAGACTAGCACTGTCATTACTTACAGCACAGCAAATGGATAAACTTGACAACAGTGTATTAACAGAATAGAACAATTCAGTTAGTGCATGTTAATACTCACGAGACTTGTTCAAACCGAGGCTTTTGTTGTAAACATATAAACATGCACCTTTATCCATAAATGTTAGCGTGAAATGCATGATAACACATATAATGCTGAATTTGACCATCTACTGTATTCACACAGATTTAATTTTGAGGTCCTCTGGTTCTGTTCTGTGTTTTTTATTTTTTTATATTTTTTCTTTCCAACGTCGCCTGTCACATCGCCTCTGCAGAAACAGTTTAGGTGTGTTCTATAGTGTCACAGTCAGACCCTCTGGAGCCTTGCAGGAACACCAGAATGTAAACACAGCCTTTCCCCCCTATACACAGCTTTGTTTTAACTAGATCCTGGCTCCTGTTTCCAATTACCTGTAGCCCTCCTTAAACATTCCATGCGGCAAAAATATTCACATAAATGCAGTGAAGTTTTCTGTGTTTGTTTTGTTTTGTTTTTGAAGAAATTATCAATTTTTTTCTGCATTTTCATTTGTTTTGTGCTTGTGATTTTTTTATTTGCGTATCGCTGTGCCCCCACCCCACACACACTTTGCTTGTGTTGTTTTGTATCTCGAGAGCTGTCCTTGAGCTCAGCAGAACAAAGTCTGTTTTCAAACTTATTCTTGTGTTCGCATTATACTTTTTTTTATTAAAACACAGCAATTTTTTTTCCAAATTATTTCCAAAAGGCTGCGGTTTATAGAGCAGCATCAATGCGTTTTTAACGCCGTGTTATTCCTCAAGGTGACCGTGTGTTAAAGCTGCCCCAGAAACACATAAGAGCATGTTTTTTGTTGTTGTTTTTGTTATCCGAGATTAAGATCAATTTTCTGTTTTAACAGCAGTGTGACCGAACGGTGATAATGTGTTTTAGGAGGAGGGAGGAGAAAACTTAGCTTTATTTAATTGAGTCTGTGTTTTGGATTTGAGTACCAGAGAGGTCGGAGATAAAACAAAACCAAAAAATAAAAAAAAATTTAAAAAATGAATGCATTCACTTTATTTAAACACAATACAGATATTAAAGTCCTTGTTTTGATCATGCCATCAGTTCAGTTTTTTTCTGCCTCTTTTTTGTGTTATTCTTTATTCTCCTTTTTTCCCTTTCCTCACCTTCTCCTCCTCCTTATCCCCCGATCGTTCAGTCTCACATTTGCAGGGTAATCACTCCCTTCAGCGTCAGCAGGGTGCAGGGTTATTGTCTCCTGTAATTAACCGGTTATCAAACAAGGACAATTCATTAAGGTACAATTAGGGGCTAATTCAGACGGGACACCTCGGTGTCAGGATTACGATGGAGGCATATGCTCTCTCTCCCTCTCAGCTTTGTTATTTTTAATTCAGACTGACCTGCAGCCTTCGACGGTTTTACCCGCTAATGAATTCACTCACTTTGAAATAATTAGACATCCTTAGGCATGGTAATTTGTTTAAAAGTATCTACCATTGCTCGACTCGTTAGCCGTGTTAAATTAATTTGAAATTAAAGCTTCTGGGAGTGGTTTGGGTTATGGTGGGAGTGCACATGCGAGAGGTGACGAGAAACATTTTTAACGTTTTATTTATTTTTTATTTTGAAAATCTGCATGGCTTTAAAGGGGCAATATCATGTAAAATCAACTTTTTTGAGTTTTATATCATGTTATAATGCTATACTCTCATAAAAAACATGCCCAATGCCTTGCTTTGACTCATTCATGCATGTTTGAGAAATCCTGCAGCGTTTTTAGGAAGCCATGCTGAGGAGCAAAACGACAGCTGGGGACCAGAAACCCCTTTTGGGACCAGAAACGCCCTTGGGATGTGTCTTTTTTTTCTTTTTTTAAATTCTTTCCTTATTAGTTTTTTTCTTATCTACGTTTTTTTCCTATTCTCTTTTTCTTTTTAATAGGAGATAAAGAAAGAGAAAGAAAAATGTGAAATGTAATGAGAAAGAGTGAAAGAGAGATTAGAAGGTATGTAAAATATATGTTGAGAAAACACAAGACAGCACACCCGACTTCTTGGCTCCACACCTACAAAAACAAAGATAGCAAAACCACAGCAACAAAAATGCATATCTATATAATGACTATAACCTTGCTGCTAACCATACCCATATACATATATAAATTTAAACATATACACTTAAACATACCCATACCTACATATCCAAAC